AAAATTAGACAACCTTGACAGGTCCTTATTTTAAGTTTACCACAAACTATTGCGTTTTCTTGTTTTTCTTTGTTGTTGTTTTTGTTTTGTTTCAAATTGATACTGCAAATTTCGTAAATAACCGCCAGTAAATATGTACATATATGAATCGTATGCGTCAATATGCTTGTTATTTGCATTTCCTTCACTCATTTAATCAATATGCATTTGGTTTCTTAATTATATGGAGGTGAAAGTACGTTTAAATCGTTTCTTGGTGTCTTTGATGTCTTGCCCATTTGTCAATAGATACAAACACAAAATATATATAGATATAAGTGTGCCTAACTGTCCAACAATTGTTTTGCGGTCGTTACCCGTGTCCGCGGTGAGGCTGCGGTCTTGGAAAAATGAAAAATCAGAAGCCGATTTCATGTGCACTAAATAAATTAAGTATAATACCAATATGTCTAATATAATTATTACTGTTATTATTGCGCCGATTAAACTTCCTCATTAACAATTACAGCACCAATTAGTACGGATAAATATATTACACTCATAACGTTGTTTTACTAACACTGAATTGAAATTTNGAAGAGAGTGAATGATTATCTGTGGAATATTACTGCCTCAGCATTTGCCTAAGTGACTCAAGGAAACCACAGAAAAACTTGGACCAAGGCAGACGGACCCGGAATCGAACCGGCGTCCTCGCGAATGCTAAGCAATGGTCTAGGCCTCTAGGCCATGCCGCTCGGTTGATGGTAGGACATCTTCTGATACATGAAGGAGTAGTTAAAGACATATTTCAAGTAGAAACAGGAGTAATGAGGCGAAAAAAGGACCTACGTTAGATGTGAGAGATGTGGGATCTTTTAGTATTCGAGAAATTCGAAGATTGTCTTAGGATAGGAGTGACTATTTTCCAAAAAATTTAAGACGTCAACATGCAGGTACGTTCCTGAATAAGAATTTGTTAGGGCTGAAATATGCTTTGGGTCTAAAAATACTTATACGAATCCAATGAGATGTTCTACCTATAACTTTCGGAAACCAACGGTGGAAATAGCAAGAAAATCTATTGATTTCCCAGGATTGCAACAACAAATAAATAAGCCTCGACGTTTGTATTTATATTAGGGAATTAATTAATAATTGTATCATAAATAAGCGAAGGTTAAAAGATATAACTATATAAATCAATCGAGGATGCAGTTGATATGCATTTAAAGTACACAATATAAATTTAATATGCGATTCGATTTTATTGGCGCAGGAAGGAGACCGCAATAAATACCAGAGCACCGTATTAAGAACGAATAAATCGATGACGAAGCAGTTTATACTGATTGATTATTTATCTAAGATAATGAACGTTCGAAATGGTTTTATTGAAAATGTTCGTACACACCTGACACACATTTTCTTTGACGAATTCGTTCGTGATTGACTAAAGAAGTTTGTGTGTAATGAGTTCTTTGTGTCGATGTTAACAGTTTAAATACCAATTAAAATTGGCGTTAATTAAGTAACGATTGATGATGGCATCAGATGGACTTCAGACAGTTAAGTTGCTCAATTAGCTCTTTCTTATTAGGTTACTCAACATTCATTGATACATTGATTCATCGACGAAATCGTAAGGTGAACTGTTATATTAATTCTGAATTAAAGTTGACCAAGTTTTATTTTGGTAGGAAAAAAAAATTGCAGGATTAGGGGCTGAATTAGGCCATACTACAATCGAGAGGCTTGGAAAGTTAAGAGGATTTTTAAGAACAATTACCTTAACGTCAAAAATCATAATTAGAATCATGCAGAGAAGGATGAAAAATAGAGTAGAAGAAATGATGATTAATTAAGGTTTATAAGAAATAGAGGAACATGCTTTAGCTTTACGGATAACAATTGGAAAAGAGAGAGTATATATATAGATTCGTAGATTTAGAAAAAGCTTTTGATGATGTTAAATGGGAAAGGATGCTAAAATACTTAAGGATGTAGGGGTGAGATATAGGGATACAATACAATATAATTTGAGCAACATCGTGGAGAAGTAAATATTAGGAGAGCAGTTAGGCAAGGATGTCCATTATTACATAGCTGCCACCAGTTTTAAATTTATCTATTGAAGATGCGATTGATAGTGTTAAAGACAGGGGATATTTAGAGTTAGACATACAAGGAAATATTAGCATATAGAAAGGATTTATAAGAGTACAGAGAGCGTTATGGGAGTCAATGAAAAACAGGCGAGATAGACGAAGGACTAATTAGAAACAGAAGCAGAAACAGGAGTTAAGAGGACTAGAGGTAGATCTAGGATATATATTAGGTACCGTTAGCAAATGGTAGATAGCTGTAGTTTTCGAGAGCGACGAAAACTGAAGATATGAATAAGTGGAAGTTGAAGACGTTACGAGGATGATGATGTAGAAAACAAAGACAGAAGAGATATTCAGTGTCTATAGGCAATTTTCAAAATAAATACAGCAGTTAATTTTGTGGACCGTGTTGATAAAGCACCAGGCACTAAGTTAATAAATAAATTAACAAATTAAACTACTTCATCGGCCGGTTAAAGAGTGCGCAATTATTTAGACATTTTTACATACAATCCCGTATCTTTCTGCGTATCTTCCATTGCAACGTACCTGCACACAACCACTTTTACATTCCGGACCATTTTTTAAACATGCAAATGCGGGAGAAAAAATATTTTCAGTCGAGTGGCTCGCTCAAGCGCACCGTTTCCGTTTTCCACATGACAGAGCACCACACAAACGATAGTAAACATCATCATTTTATAGTAGCGGTATATTATTTCCCACGACTATACAGGGTGACCAATTATCCATGAACATACATTTATGTTTGTTTTTGACGATTTTTCATTTTTTGGATAAGGTCAGGTCAGTAATGTCGACGAGAGCATATCTTAGAAGTAGCTGAACCAATTTCAATCAGACACGAAAGAGAAGTCGTCAGGAGTGAGTGACCTAAGCTTTTTCACCAGGGAGAAATCGACAAATATAATTAGAGAAGACGAACTACTAGTTGCTAGAGCCACTGTCATTATTATATATTTATACACTGTTAACAAACTTAGAACTTTCAGAAAATACTACAAACGGCGCAGTAAACGCCATCTGTAGCACGATGCTACATTTTAGGATTACGTATACTCCAACAAGGTCGACTTGTGTGGATATCTACTTGCTGAAAACGAATTGCTACAGATGGCGTTTACTGCGCCGTTTGTAGTATTTTCTGAAACGCACTGTTAAGACAGCAGGTAAAAGTCGGCCTGTGTTCTGTCGGGCTGCCTGCGACGCGCTGATGAGATCCAAAAAGATCGAAATCGCGATCCGCGTCTGGCAGTTTCGACAAAATACAGACCACTTCGAATTATTTTAAACTTAGAACTGTTCTGTTTCATGTGAGGATGCAAACGACGCGTTGATGATTCTGGAACATCCACGGTTGTGTCAAAAACATCCATGTTTGTCATCGATGTATCTAATTTGAAACAATGATTACATCTGTGCTTTCCGGCTATGCCTAGCACACACAGAACAACGCCTGCTTAAATTTTTGTTTTAATGTTTTGTCTTGAACAGAAGGACAGTAAACAGGAGTCTAAATACTCAATAAATTTGGAAGATTTTTAAGTGAATATTACTGATGTTTTAATAATTGAATGTTACTTTTTATTTTGACTATCTTTTAGATAGTATTTCTGTAAAACTGTGTATTGTGCAAGTAAAAAACATCGATCTTCCGATGCATGGATGTTTTTAGGGTCGATGTTTTTGACATCGATACTGTTTTTTTAAAAACATTGCTACATCAAACCAAAGATATTTTTCTTTACTATGTGTGCATCCCTAATTACATGCAAAGCTTTCGAGGAGGGGTGCAACGCGTTATTGAAAAGATTTTTGAGATTTTGGTTAGTTTTGAAACAAGCAGGCGAATATTTTGCTTTACCTGTACATGTGCCGATGCACTATTGATTATTCTACATATATATGTGTGTTTATTATCCTTTTGACACGAGGTATGCCGCTCTATTTGAAGAACACCCGGATTAAACGCGACAGTGACAACTGTTATGAAATAATAAAAATAAAGGCGGCATAGGAAACCGTTTTGTATCCGATGGCGGAAAACAAGTGAGTGTACACAATGGCCAGCGGGTCAGAGAGGTCCTTTTTTCCCCAAATAAATTGCTAAATTGGGCCGTAAATAAGACGGTTTTCGAAGCGCGACCGACTGTAAACGCCGCTAATAATCGAGACCCACGGTTACCCATGTCGAAAATTAATTCAATTGTCTTAAACGTTGACATGAATCATTTTGATTAAGTGCGGAGAGCAAAGGGTGCGTTTACGCATAGCACGCACGACCGTTTCGCTTAAAAAAAGACCGTTTCTTCCCGCAATGTCCGACGGGCAACGCACATACTATGTATAATGTAATTGATGCACTCGCTCACTGTTATGGGCGCGGCAAAATTAATTGTTACAGAATCGTTCCGCTAGTTGTTTATTAATAACTACTTGTTAAACCCTTTTAATATATTATTGATGTTTCGTTAACAGAGTTCCTTTTTTAGTGTGAGAGATTTCTAAAGAAAAACATGTTGTAATTGTTGGTCCCATTCTGTTATCAGGGATGATTGTTTCGCCTTTGGCATTATCAGGTTTCAGTCAAGCCAATAATAAAATATTGTTGATTCGATTGGTGGATGATAGTATAAAGGTTTTATTGTGACTTCTAAAATTCTAAACTTTGTGTCTTCTATCAGGAAAAATGATTTGGAATAGAACTATAATGATACTGATTATACGCCATTCAGAATCATTGCTCTGAATCTCACCAATACCTTTGATTCTTATAAGACAATGTAAACTTTATGTCGATTAAAAACCTTCACAAAAAAGCTGAAAGCAGCAAAAAGCTCTAAGCACCATGCGATCGTTATCTATTTAAGTGTAATCCATTAATTTTCTTACCTTTACTGAGAGATGTCTATTAAGCAGAGATGCATCCGTTTAGTCTTAACATGGACATACGGCTAGTTGCTTTGGTATTTACCTGAAACAAAATAAAAATGTTTAGTAAGTTACTTACACTATCATGTTATAAGTTTCCTTAAATAATTCCTTGATAGTTGGTCTCATAATACATATACGTTATTTATCGACAAATACTGTAGTGTTCGCTTTTTTAAAGACAATGTAGAAAAAGGAATAATTATTTCGATTTAATTTTATATGCCGAACTCAACTTAAGCTCTAGAATTTCCCCAGTACATTACAGTTTCATGATACCCACGGATATATTTCAAATATTTTGCGTTAATCAGAATAAAAGGTGTTTCAAGAAATTGTCTTCGGATTGAAGACTTTATGATGAAAATAAAAGGTATGACTTTTATTAGTGCAAGATAAAGTAAATCCTACTCTGTCCAAATAAGATCAACCTAGGGGTGATCGATTAGTGAAAGATCAGATAAATCTTTTTAAACCCAGATAGATCAGATAAGTCTTGATCTACTATAGAACTAAGGTAAAAGTTACGAAGTCTACAACTTAAGACAAGATAAGTTAAAACAACGAATTCCATTATAAGACTTTGATCGGACAATTCAGATGAAGACCTAACCAGATAAAGCTCAGAAGATGTTTTCTTATCAGTAGCTAACAGACTAGTGGCACATTTTAATGCCTTATTCCAGCCTTATTCGTCCCGGGGGAGTTCCCTAAACCTATCGTAATAGCTTTTATAACTTTAAATATGTCAAACTCCATTGATCGAAAAGTCCTGTGCAAAGAAGAAACAATCTCCATTTCTGATTTGAGCATGACTTACAATAACTCGAACTGTTGGAATTGGACTAGGTACATTAGTATTATTTGGGTTTTGAAATTTGATAACTCTGAATCCATAATCGTACATTATGTCAGGAATGATAACTCTGATCAACTACAATGTACCTAAGCAAGCACTAATCGAAGCGAAAAGCAATCTTGCAGTAATTTTAATGAGATTCCAACCAGTATTTCTCCAGTATTGCGCATACTTGATATGTCGATAAAAAAATATATAATTAACTTGTAAGGTGTCATGTAGATATTTAAGCATTCTTGTATTTGGTGTTGCCCTTTATGATATTTTATTTGTAGAATTTTTCTGGCGTAATTAACGTGTGCGTATAATAATAAACATTCCGCAAACTTCACATCTTTGCAATAATTCCAACCTTGAACGGTCTTACTGTAAATCAGTTAAATATTACAATCCGACACAAGTGTACGCGTACGTGTGTATGTAGGTACACCTGTCAATCAAATTTAAATGAGTGTTTCTATTCAGAGAAAATGCATTATTCATGTTACACAATCAGCCTTCCAACTTGCCTGTTTGCCAGTTCGTAGATTTATCGCGGACGTATCTTTGAAACATTGGGTATTTAAGGTCTTCACATGTTTGTAAATATTTTCTTCCTTTTTTTTCGCAACTCAAGCTAGCAACTAACAGAAATGGAATATTAATATGTAATTTACTCGTTCTCGCCATTTCGGGAATGCCCTGCGTATCATCAAGATTAACTGATTGTATTTGTTGTGTGATCGAGTAGTTTCACTATGACAGCAGGAGTCAGATGTGGAGAATTATCATAAGGCCTTTAGCTAGAGGACTGGTGGGACATGCACTGCTACTGTGGCGGATGGAATCAGATAGCCAGGAAGTAATTCTAAATGAGGATCATCATCAAAAGGTTTTCATCTCAAGGACTTGTTGGACACGCGTTTCCACTGAGCCAGTTGAAATCAGATAGTCAGCAAGTACTTAAGAATGTGGATTATCATCATCATAAAGTTTTTATGTCAAGGACTCGTTGGAGAAGCGTTTCCATTGTGCCAATTGGAACCAAATAGTCAGGTAGTAACTCCAAATGTGGATCATGAACATAAGGCCTGTAACTCAAGGCCTGGTTGGAAATTTACTTCCCCCATGCCGGTTGGAATCAGGCAGTCAGGAAATAACCACAAATGTGGATTATAATCACAAGGTCTTTAGTTCAGGACTGATTGGACACGCACTTTCACTGCTTCGGTTAGAATCAGATGACCAGGAAGTAATTCAAAATGTGGATCATCATCATCATAAGATTTTTATGTCAAAGACTGGTTGGATTCGCGCTTTCACAGTGCCGACTGGGATCAGATCAGATACTCAGGAAATAACTGTAAATTTCGATTATCAACACAAGGTCTTTAGCTCAAGGACTGGTTGGAAATTTATTATTTCCACCTTGCCGGTTGGAATCAAGTAGTCAGGGAATTATTCTAAATGTGGATTATTATCACAGGGTCTTTAGCTTAAGGACTGATTGGACACGCACTTTCATTGCTTAGGTTGGAATCAGAAAGGAAGTAATTCTAAATGTCTATCATCATTATCATAGAGGTTTTATGTCAAGGAGTGGTTGGACACGTGCTTCCACTGTGCCGATTGATATGATTTTTAACCCAAAGACTGATGAGACGCGCACATCCCCTTCTTCCCATATTGACCCAAGCATCTCCAACTATTTACGAACAATAATCTGGTTATAATTTTAATGGGATTTTAACCACTATCACGTATAAATACGTCTAAATGTGGCAGTGCTATTAATAATTATATTTGAGCTTTTAGTAATATCGCTTTAATAAAAGTTGAAATAAACAGAAAATTCTAACTCAATGGTTTAAGTAGAAAACTCGTTTTGCAACATTTTCAAGTGGTAGATCATGAATTAATTATTATTTGCATACTTATAAAATATTTGATAATATTCATGCAATTAATGAATACGCAAAAGTAATTTTAAAGAACATGTAGTTTCTTAATTCATGTTACTACGTAACGAACAGTTGAAAGTTGGCAGTAAACCAAAAGCGCAAAATTTGTGTTTTTACTTTCTGATTTGAAACAAACAGAATTACAGAGGGTAATTCCAATAGTTGGGAATATTTTACGATTTTGGCTTAATACCAAGCGTGTGGTTACTGTTAATATTATAAAATGTATTTTATACATGCGGCATTTTAAAGAAAACCAGCCGTTGGTTGTTGCGTTACTGGTACCTACAAAGACGCATATTAAATTCTGAATTGAAATTCATTAAAAATAAATATCGCCGTTGGCGGTGACGGCGAACAACATACACGTTCGCAACAGGTTTCATGACTTCTGTCATTCATTTGCGTGCGTTTAATTAAAGACCTGACATCGTTACTTATCTACTACGTGACGGGACTATGAGTAAAAATATCATCCAAAATGACAACTCTTCAACTTTGCTACTTAATAATGACCATATATTGTGATACAAGTCATAATGTGGATGTATCAGGATGTGACCATATTATATTCAAATCTTGTCATATTATTATCCAACATTTGGTTCAAAATGTATTGAGGTTTTACCTGCTGAAACAATACAAAATCGGTAAACCTAGAATATGAGTATCATCATTATCATCATAAGGTCGTCAGTCCTAAGACTGCTTGGACACGTACCTCCACTCTTTCCTATCCTGAGCTAAACTTCGCATTTCCCTAAAACTAGAACAACCCACATCCTTAACTATTTGCGAATAGTAATCTAATCTAGGTCTACCTCTACCCCTCCTAACTCCTGTTTCTGCC